AAAATGTGCTAAATCCATATTTTAAAAGTTGATGTATTTTTTTTTTCCTATGAGAGACAGAGATAGGCACCCTAGCAGGGTCCTCATGCTGTCCTTGTCTTCAACCAGCCAGGATCCTGGGCAGGCTCGCGTCCTGTGTATAGGCAAACCTTGACTTGTAAACCTGGGACTGTCCTGCGTGGTTCCAGCATGGCAGCCTGTTGTCACCACTGCAGTTGACTGCTAAATTCCTTTTACTGGGTTTATAATAGTACTTGTTTTGAGATACAAACGTTTACTGTTTGTCTATGTAATTGACACAATCCCTTGTTATTTTTTTAGTTAGCATTAGTATAAGCATTCATGATCACTAGGCCTTGTCAGTGTTGTCAAGGATACTAACCCAGGTACGAAGATAGAAAGCTACTGAATTAATATTACTACTGCCGAAAACCCCGGATCATCTGATGGGATGCCATTGTTGTACGCTTGTGCCTATGACTCACAGCTGTTTTGGTGGGGACAGAAGGCTTTGATGTAAGTGACTTTTCCCTGCACCCCTCAGCAGTTCTAGGTCTGAATGCATGTCAGGGCCCTCCACCTCGTGCTGGAAATCTGTTGTCCACCAGGCTTTTGGACATTGTTCTGTGGAGCTGGATCTTGGGCATGTGAGCCAGGAAAGGGAGGGAGATATAACTTCTCAAGAGAGGTTAGGCAGTGATCCAAGGAGCTGGGAAATACTTTGCCAGTTGGTGATTCTACTGTATGTTGAATCTCTAGAAGCTGGACAGTCCTCCTCCGCTGGCTCACGTTCTGCTTGATACGTAGTGTGTTGTGGTGAGGGTAGATACTAGCGAGGTAAATAAAACTCTCAGTCCCCCACAAATCGTCCATTTGACCATTAGAAAGAAGACAGGATAGGTTCAGTGTGAGTGTATGTGGAGTAGGCAGGCTTCGAATTTGGACTCTTCACTCATCCTCCACTTTCCTTTCTTCTTCCTTAGACACGTGCCTACATGGCCACAATCTGTGGCTCTGTGTTAACTGAATCAACTGATCAAATCCTGAGCTGACTAGTTTTCTCATTCTCGGTTTAGAAAAGCAGCCAGAACAATCTTGTTGGTCAGAAATAAGAGAGGGCTGGTGACTGAAGCAAAGTATCCGAAAAATTGTAGGAAAATAACAGTTTCATTTTTATAGAAGATGAAGATAATGTGGCTAGTTAGGAAAAAATAAAGTCCTAAGCAATCATTTGAATTCAATTCAAGCTTCTGGTGTAGAGGAGTTACATATACAAGGAGAATTCAAAGCATTTGTGGGAAAATACACATTTTCCGTGAGCTTTTTGAAGACATCTCTTGTACAGTGTGTAAATGAGGCAGGAACACACACACCTTTAGTGCCCTACAGTATAAATACACAATAGAGCAAATTAGAGAAAAACTGAGAAGTAGAGGGAAAAAACAGTTGTCCCTGGCTTGTGGAACTCTTACTCCAGAGAGGCGTGCATAGGAATCAGTTGCCAAGTGCTAGGGAGAACTTGGAGATACAGTTTTTTGTGCCCAAAATGCCGAGAGGAAAATGGAGGAGAAGGCATTGTGGTGTGCCTGTCCACCTGGGGAGTGATTTCTCACTTTCTGTCTCTCTCAAAACAAACAAAAAACTGTGATATCTGCAGCATGGATAACACCTCCTACTTACTGAGCACCAACCGAGCACTCAGTCAGCGTAGGGGCTTCCAGTGCGCTGTCATGCCGCTCTTCGTGCCGGAATCTACTCACCCTCTGTCAGTGTGAAGTTGGCCTCACACCTTGAGGAGATCTGATGTGATGTAGGAGGCAATGCCTTCTGGATTAATGTCCATAAGCTTTTAGTTTTCTCTGAAATGAGAGATCAATACTGTTCCTTGGATTCCTTCGAAAGTTAAATCGACTCCTCTGTGTGGTATTTAGTGAAGAGAAATGGAAGTGTATGTACATACAGTGTTCACAGGATTGTTATTCCTAGTTCCAAACTGGGAACAGCCTAAATGCCCATCATTTGGTGAGTGAGTAAACAATGTGTAGAATATTCATATATTGGGATACTACTCAGTAGTATATTAGTATATTGCTAATATGCTCAACAATGTGGATGAAGCTAAGAAGCATTTTACTTAGTGAAGGAACCAAACACCGAAAGCTACCTAATGACTATGTGAATATATTTAACACTGCCGAACTGAACACTAAAAATGATGTAAGATGATAAATGTTGTTTTCTACTTTACCACAGTATTTTTTTTTAAGAGGTTTTTGCTATAGGGTGTGTGCGTTTGCCAGAAAGACAGAGACATAGAAGAGAGAAATCACCCCCCAGGGAGGATGACCACGCCGCAATCCCTTCTCCATTCTCCTCTTGGTATCCTGGGCACATGTGCACATGCACCTGGCGTGAGTTTAACCCACCGGGTCCGGGACTTGAACCGTAGTCGACTACGTGGAAGTACAGCGACATAGCCATTACGCTAACTGCTGGTCCCTTACCACAGTATTTTTAAAAGGCGTATAATATAAAAATCTGTTTATATGAAATTCTAAAAAAGAAAATTACAGTGACAGGAAGTATTATCTAGTGACTGTTACAGGACAGTGTTCAGGGAGAGACTGATGTGAAAGAGCACAGGGAACCTTTTGGGGTGATGGGAATATTTTATGTCTTGATCATAGTGGTGGTTATGCAACTTAACCTTTGTCAAAACATACAGAATTGCTCACTTGTAAATTATAGCTCAATTAAAATTATACACACACAAGAAAAGATGAGAAACAGGCTAGGAATTTGAGAGAGTTAGAAAATTCTGGGCCAGACTGTGGCCTGGTGATTAAGGTGGTTGACAGCATGGTTTGGGTCCTGGACCCGGTGGCTCGAGAAACATGCCAGGTGTGTGTATGTGTGTGTGTGTGTGTGTGTGTGTGTGTGTGTGTCCGTGTCCCCAAATCCCCAAGGGAGGGAGAGATGTAGAAGGGATTGTGGTGTGACCGTGCCCCACAGGAGGGTGCTTTCTCACTTTCCCTCTCTCTTTCTCTAGGAAGCTCATGCGCCTTCTGGCAAATTTTAAAAATATATAAAATAAATAAAGAATTGTATCTCCTAGTAAAGCATTAGAGGATTTTGTGTGTGTGCTGTTTTACATAGCTTTTTATATTTCTTGATCGTGAACAATGAGGTCGAGGGGGGAATATATTGTCTTTTCTGTCCTCATTGTGTCCTGTGATTATGTTTAGTAACTGTAAACATACGTTTAGGGTTCTCAAAAGTATTTAAAAGTTGCCCTAATGAGAATATTGGTTCTCAGAGGTAGAAAGGAAGAAGACTGCTCTGTTTCCTGCAGGTGGCCTTCTTGCTTTGAGCTTTGCTTACTCACCACTTAGAGGGGGTTATTTAGTTGCAATATTTGATCGCACCTTCAATGTCATTTTGGCTTAAAAATTTCTAACTACTGCTTTCTTAAAAGTATCCTCCTTCTTTGGTGTCTGGGATTATTACCCTGCAGTGCTTCTTTTTTTCTCTACAGCAGAAATGATTTTATTATCTCCCTGACTGATACACATTTGTCCCTAATGAGAACACACCCGTTGCCCCATTTCGTCCATGCTTGTCGTTTTAAGCTATCTTACTCTTTCCTATAGTTAATCTATCCGGGTCCATCTCAAATCTCTTATTCTAAATTCTCTCTTAAGCTTTGTCTCTTCTTTCAACTACCTCCAGGGTATGTTATCAGCCTGTTCAACTTTGCCCAAACTAAACTTACTGCGTTTTTTAACAATTCCTCTTCTGTCCTGGCCTCTTCTGTGCCTTTGAAAGACCACCATTCTTCTTCCCTCCCGAAGTTGTGTCATTTTCCTTTTTCCTCTGTCTGCTCACTTCACTTACCGTTCAGATCCTTTGCATTTCCTATGAGATATCGCCCTCGTTTTAGGTCTCTCTGTGATCACTCTAATCTGGGTCCTTGTGGCTAAGGGTCCCATGGCACCTTTAAGATATTTTTGAGTGAAAGCTGTTGGTTAAGATGACAAAGAAGGTTTCACAGTTGGGGAGCGCCTCTGTTACCAGATCTGTGTTTTAGACGCCTAAATCCCAGAACTTGGCTTCGCTCTGACAGCGCACCCTGTGGACGTGTAGAAAGGCTCGGTGTTTATAGTTTTGTGATAGCTCGGGGTTAAGGTTTGCAGCCTTGGATGCCCCAACACTTCCTTACTTCTCCTCTTTACACCATGCCGCCGTATTAGTATTCCAGCTGAGGCCAAACTGAAGTGCCCGATACTACGGATTTTCATGTACTAAAATACTGTTTTATTCAGTTATTCACTGAATATGTGTGATCTGCGTCTTTTTTTCAATCTCATTTGTATTTTCCTCTCAGATTTTACTTTTAAGGTTAATGGTTATTTTTTATTACTGTTTTTGTCCATAAATTTTCCCTCAATTGTCTTTATTCTTTGATAACATTTGTGGAATCAACTTTTGTAGGCTTGGTTGCAAAATGTTTGAAAATGGGGGGAAATTATGTTACCAAGAGAGGAAAGGTTGATGAGTACTATTACATTTTCCCTACCTTGCTCCTTTTATACAGGAGGGCTGGCCACAGCGTATGTTTCTTGGGGTTTAACTATATCCTTGGAAACATATTTTTCATACCTAAGTTTTTCTTCCATTTATTTTAGCAGTAAGATATATACTTTAGAAATGTTAAGCTGGTGGATTTTATTTTAGTGATAGGGCATCTTAAGGTGTTTCATTTCAGTTACCTTTTCATCGGTAAGAAATGTAAAGAATAGCTTAGCAAGCATGTCTCAGGACTTCAAAATAGGAGGTCTTTACTTTTTTTTGAATAAAATGAAATAGTGTTTTTTGATCAGAAGAAATATTGAAGCTGTTACCAGATTTGGAATGAAATGGCCAGAAACGTAAAGCACTGCTTTTTTTGAATCAGAATATGATACCATGTTTATGTTTTCTTCTGTCTTTGGGCATTCTAGAGGGGTGTTCGATGCTTCCCTTAAAATGGCTGCTTTCTACGGATTGTACACCTGGCTGACACATACCATATTCGGCATCAATATCGTCTTCATACCATCAGGTAACAACCGTGCGTTAATTTTAAAGAAAGAGCATTTTATGAATATTACGAAATGTCTCCCTCAACTTTACAGTGCTGAATTTTATGGCTTGAGATTTAACCTACGTTAGATTGGGAGCAGATTTAGGATTTGTAATGTGTGTGTTTCTTGCTGTACCCCAGTATCTGGGATATACTCAGCATATAGAAAGCACTACGTACGCACTTGCTACATGAACAACTGCACTTCGTACACACCTAGCATATAGTTGGCATTCAATAAATACGGAGATTGAATTTATTGGCAGGGAGCAAAATGTTGTCAAGAAGCTTTTCCTTGTGAGGATAGGGCTTGGAGGCTAAGCGAGGGACTCAGAGGGCAGAGACAGTATCTCCAGACTTCTCAAGACCTGCTTTGACAATGCCCTCATTCCATAAGCACCGGGTGGTCCAGTGAGCATTTGTTCTTTTTCCCTCCGTGTTCTCTCTTTTCCTCTCCTCCTACTTGATCTTTATTTGGATGTCTGCCTTCCACATTTACCACTACCGTCATTGTTTTCCTCTCTTCTCTATGCTCCCTTCTTTGTTTATTCTCCTTGTAGAGAATTATTTATGAATTTAATTGTGTTTGTTATTATTATTTATTTTATAATTTGACCAGAGAGAGAAAGGGAGAATGAGAAATCAATCTGCCAGGGGCCAGCAGATGGCATGGTGGTTAAAGGCGCTGGATTCCCATATGGGTGACTACGGTTCGAGTCCTGAACCTGGTGGCTTGCTCTCTTACTTTTTCTCTCTCTCTCTGGTCAAATTAAAATTTAAAAATGTATAAATAAATGAATTACGTGACAGTGTTGGCCCAAGCACAGGCCAGCACACGGTGAGAGCACCAGGACATACCTAATGCCCTGCTGGCAGGAAGCCAGGACCCAGGGTGCCAGCTTCCTCTCCATGCTCCGATCACTGAGTCAAGGGCTCAAGCACAGAGCCTCCCTCCGTTCAGGCTTTCACAAAGCCCAATACCCTCTGGGCCCCAACCAGAACTGATGTGTGTGTGTGTGCGTGTGCGTGTCTGGTAATGGGTGTGCTTGAGGACAGCTGAACCTCTAAAAAGGCTGAGCAAAATGTTGTCAAGAAGCTTTTCCTTGTGAGGATAGGGCTTGGAGGCTAAGCGAGGGACTCAGAGGGCAGAGACAGTATCTCCAGACTTCTCAAGACCTGCTTTGACAATGCCCTCATTCCATAAGCACCGGGTGGTCCAGTGAGCATTTGTTCTTTTTCCCTCCGTGTTCTCTCTTTTCCTCTCCTCCTACTTGATCTTTATTTGGATGTCTGCCTTCCACATTTACCACTACCGTCATTGTTTTCCTCTCTTCTCTATGCTCCCTTCTTTGTTTATTCTCCTTGTAGAGAATTATTTATGAATTTAATTGTGTTTGTTATTATTATTTATTTTATAATTTGACCAGAGAGAGAAAGGGAGAATGAGAAATCAATCTGCCAGGGGCCAGCAGATGGCATGGTGGTTAAAGGCGCTGGATTCCCATATGGGTGACTACGGTTCGAGTCCTGAACCTGGTGGCTTGCTCTCTTACTTTTTCTCTCTCTCTCTGGTCAAATTAAAATTTAAAAATGTATAAATAAATGAAGTTAAATAAAATAACTCTTTAAAAAGAAAAAGAAACAACCTGCCAGTTTTGGGAATCATACCGTGGTCAGCCATGTGGGATTCCAGCACCTTAACCACCACACCACCTGCCTTCCCCCCTTTCTTTCTTTATATTCCCCCATTCAGTCATGTTCTTGCTTACTTTAGTGTGAGAGCACGTGGAAGCTGTTATTTATAGTCACCCCTGGATCCAGGCAGGGTAGGTGGTGGTCTTGTTGAATAGATGAGAAATCAGCGTTTTCCAAGATCACCCGTCTGTTTACTGGTAGGACCAGAACTACATTCACATCTACTTGACTCTTAGTGTGGAGGGGAGCCAGTCAAAGAGATCATTTTGAACTACTGCTCTGGAAGGGAGTGCGCTTTCACATAAAGTCCTGAAAGTAGTGTGGGTTTTATTTGTTAGTGTATTTTTAGTAACTTATTTTAGAAAGAAGCGAAGATAAATATATTCATATCTGAGGTTTAGAAGCTAAGTTCTGATTTGGCATTGGACTCGGTATAGATTTTCAGAAATGCTCTACAGTTATATTTATAGGATTGTGTATTAACTAGCCATTACTTCAGAGTAATAAGTGTAGAACAGTAAAATGTTATTGCTTTAAGAACAGGTACATAATGTAGACACACACCTTAGAAAGATTTTCAATATTGGGTTTTAAGATACTGGACCTTTATTTAACTAGAAAATTCAGTTAAATGGGGCATATCATTCTTTTAAAATTTTGAGTTTGCATTTAATTTGTTAGTGGAAATTTTTAAGTAAGAGCAGCCTATACTTAGGTTCTGCTGTTTTGTTACTGTTTTGCCAACAACATTGAGTTGCTTTTCTTCTTTTAATATTTTATTAGCTTTGGCAGCAATCCTTGGAGCAGTACCATTTCTGGGAACATACTGGGCAGCAATACCTGCAGTTCTGGACCTGTGGCTGACACAGGGCTTAGGGTGCAAGGCCATTCTACTGTTGGTTTTTCATCTCTTACCCACATACTTCGTCGATACTGCAATCTATTCTGATATATCAGGGTAAGAATTACACAGACGACTTCTAAAGTTACTGGTGAATCAGATCCAGGGATTTCTATAACTTATTTATTGATTTAACCCTTTTTTTTTTCCTGGAGGCGGGGTGTGCTGGAGGGCAGGCTCACTTGCCAGAGAGAGAGGAAGACAGAGAAGTGGAGGAGAAAGCACTTCCTATGGGGAATGATCATGCCACAGTCCCTTCTCCTCTCTCTCTCCCTCCTTTTGGAATTTTGGGCATGTAATTATGTTACCCAGGACTCAAGCCATGTAATCGGCCATTTGGGGTCTAGCTGCCTTAACCACCCTGGACTCAGACTGCACAGTTGGTCATGTGGGATCTGGCTACTTTAACCACCAGGCCATGGAGCTACCCTATGCTTTCTTTATTTCATTTTATTTTTTATTCTTTTCTATTTTGCCAGAGGGCACTTGTGATTGCCAGAGAAAGACAATGAAAAATTGGAAAGTGAGAAAGCACACCCCATGGCCTGTTCACACTACTGCCCCAATCCCTTCTCCTCTACTTCTCTCTCTTTTCAGGGTTTTGGGCATACATGCATATGGGTCCAGTGTGGTTTTTCAAGGAGCTGGCTCCAGGATGTGAGCCACATGGTTGGCCACATGGGATCCAGCAGCCTTAACTACCAGGCTACAGGCTGGCCCCACATTTTCTTTTGAGACAGGGTCTCACTGTGCAGCATTCTCCCTGCCTCACGCTCCCAGCTGGGACTACAGGTGTGTGCCGCCACAGCTCTTTTTAAGACAGTGTCTCTATGTCATCTAGACTAACCTCAAGTTCCTGGTCCTCTTGCCTCAGCCTCCCGAGTTGCTGGGATTTCAGGTGAACCCCACTACACCCAGCCTTTAGGTTGGACTGGGACTTCAGCCAGGGTGTTCCATGTGGTCCTAGCCTGTGAAGCACAGCATCTTAGCAGTGTGCACCATCATGGCTGCACCATCCGTAGTGTTTTTGAAGGTTGTTTTCCCTTTCTTTTTCTGTCCCTCCAAGAGGGTAGGGGAAAGATGTGGTGTTAGAATTTTTCAGTGAAATAGCCTTTTGTGTTTCTACTGATCGAATGACATTTTAATTTAAAATAACATTGCTTATAAGATATGCTGTTTTGTAATTATGTAAGTATTATTATTAACATATGAGACCCTCTCTTGAAACAAAATTGAGAATAACGTTCTTTTGATTTAGTAGCACTAGAAAAGAAATATTACTAAGTGTATGTAAAATATTTTAAATGCAGTAAAGAGTTAGTGGTTATTTTCAGCACCTGTTGTCTTGTGAAGAAGATTCCATGTAAAACCAAATCTCAGAGCAGAGTTTTCTTTCTTAAGGTGGAATGGTGTAGTTCTGGGCTGACTCTGTAGTATGGTTAAGGGAGCCATATCTCACATGGTGGACCTTGCAGTTTGAGTCCTGGCTCTGGGGGCCTAGAGAATATGGCATGTGTGTGTATGTGTGTTTCTAAGGTGTTGCCATAGTGCATGTACACTTACTAGAGAAAGACGGAGAGAGGGAAAGTGAGAAATCACCCCCTAGCAGGGATGGCTATGCTGCAGTGCCCTCTCCATTCTCCTCTCAGATTTTGAGCCCACACGCACACACACTGGTGTGATTTCTAAGCTGCAAGATCTGGGTCTTGAACCATGGTAGGACTTGAACTGTGGTTGGCCATGTGGCTGTCCAGTACCTTAACCACCACGCCCCCTGCTGGCCCTATAGCTTTTGTTTTGTTTTGTCTTTTTTTAAAGAATTATTTATTTATTTAATTCCATTTGTTGTTGTTGTTATTATTATTATTATTTCATTTGACCAGACAGAGAGAAAGAGAAAGGAAGGGAAAGCTAGAAAGCGAGCCATCCAGTCTGGGACTAGAACCGCAGTCAGCCATGTGGGAACCCAGCGCCTTTAACCACCACACCACTTGCCGCCCATAGCATGTGTTCTTATGCGTGTGTGTACATGCCTAAAATTCCAACATGCTGGAGAAATGGAAGAGAAAGGATTGTGGTGTGGCTAGACTCTACAGGGGTGCTTTCTCCCTCTCTCTTTCTCTTTCTGCCAAGTGCACTTGCTCACTGAGGACGAAAATAGTATAGTTCTATGATAAATATAGGTTAATGTAAGTCAAAAATCTGTCCCATTTGTGTACATTTTGATACATCTTTTAGAAATTGCATTAAGTGTATCACGCCAATTCTTAGTCATATGCTTTGATTCATAATGCTCATTAGAATCTGGGTCATAACCGAATGTTGAATTCTGATCTGTGACTCAAATTCAGAATGTAAGCTACTAAACCTTATTCTAATGCTCAGTACTCATTTACTTTAAGTAAATATAAGGTAGAGTAGACAGGGTCTACGCTTACAGAGTACCCTCACGTGTTTTTTATTGTTATCACTGTGCTGTGCTGCTATAATCTATTTTATTTTATTCCAATTATTGTAAGTGATACTGTGATAAGCTTTTGGACAATTATGACTCTCTTCTAAAATAAAAATCTTGGGCTTTGTGATAGGTATTTTCTTCATGAGGCATTTTATTTATTTATTTATTTATTTATTTTTAGAAATGTAATACTGTTTTTTTAACTTCAAAAACATTTCAGCATTCTAAACATACAAAAAAATAACAGAACATTGCAAATCATGTTTTAAGTACAGAGGTTCTTGAGCTTCATTGATGCAGTGACTCTTGGCTTTGCTGACAATGAAGAGTTCTACAGTTTATTTAAAACAAAGTTTTAAAACTATAGCACTTAACTAAGGAAACAAAAATTCAATCCCTCCTCATGCCAGCCGACTCCCCTTCTCCACAGCTAAGAATGGCAGAACACTAGGTCACTATGTACAAGACACCCTGACACTTACACGGAGGCCACCGCAGAGTCAACCGGTCCAGCTTCCCAGTGCACGCCCTGAGCCACAGCCCCTCCAACGGGCGCCCTTCCCGCAGCCC